TCTGATTTATCCTACTTAAAATTTTAGCATTTAAAGATCGCCGATCAGGTGTTGCGTTCTTTTTGGGAGACGGTGTACACGCCTTTGATTTATTGATTGTAATAAAATTGAAAAGAACCAAGTCTATCTTGCCTACATTGTAAATTTTTCGGTTATCTAGATTATCTGTGGCTAACACACTTTCACGCGGATAATATTAACTATTTGTTACCTATACGAAACATTCATACATTCTGAACTTTCGCCAAAAATAATTTTTGATTGATCAAAATTTCACGTGAACTAATTGTTACCGTAGTACAATTGATTTTCATATTTACGTTAGCTATGAAACCACACGCGTACTTCGAACGCGACCCTGACCAATGGTGTATTACAGCTTTTTTAAATGAAGATACGATGGAGCCTTTCCAGCTAATACCTAAGATGTCTTGATGTTATTGCGGCCAATAAAGAAGGCAAAAGGAAGAAGAAGGCAGATTCGCTTCTCAATAGATTTAGAAAGGAAGTCAAACCATTTATGATTTTCGTGACAAAAGATAGTGGCATGTCAGGGTGGTACCCACTCGGTTTCCCTGTCATTTGAGGCCATTCGCCGAGCCACAAACCAGTGTTTGCGACACAGAAGTCCCACACGGTCATCTGATGCCTGAAGGCCACTCGCCGAGCCAGACACTGGACCCATCGGTGCACGGATAACCCACTCGGTTGTCTGTTGCTCGGTGGGATAAACGTTTTAGTTGAAAATAGTACTCATTCTTAATTTTCCATTTTTAGGGTTCACAAGTTGACCGTAAGAAAGCTAAAAAATGGGAATCGGAACGCTTGCATAAACAGATACACATCCATCAACCAATTAGTGAGGTTAACGGGAATGTAGTAGCCGGGAATGTAGATATCAAAGTTTCTTTACAGCCGTCCTCAAAGAAAAGAGACTGGAAAGATGTACAGGTATGCACCTTTTTTGATATATCTATTATTTTATGATTTTGTTCCTAATGAACTGCAATTTAATTCTTAGGATGATGATGAAGATCGGGTTAAAAAAACCAGAAGCGGAAGGAATGTTCCAAACTATCGTGGGTTTTTTGACAAATCATCAGTTCAAATTCAAGAGAATAAAGAAAAAAATATTCAATATGATGGGGTTAGTAATTATTTAATGATGGGGTTAGTAATTATTTAATGATGTATTTAAAACAAATGCGCTTTTACCCTTTATATTTTTGAAAGTCATATGAGCAAAAGCCTGAAAATACATCAAAAGACACTATTTTACAGTTTGATAATGACACTGACGATGATGAGATCAAGGATGATAGTGAAACTGAAGGTGAAACCAACAAGGTAAGTAACTTGTAACAAAAATTCAAACAAAAATGCGTTTGTAAATTATTGACTATTTTTCACCGTGCAGGTAATAACGGACTTCTTGGGAAACATTGTTGAATGCTCAAAGGAATCAAAAAATATTTGTTCAGAGTATACGAAACAATATCCTGATGGTTATTTGAGTGATCTCCGCTTATGTTCTTCCTTCCTCGGAAGCATTCCAAGATCGATTGCAGTGTCATATCTATCAGAGATGGATAAGATAACAGAATCTTTAATTCCTGATGGTTTACACCAATTCTTAGTACGATTCTTTTCACAAAATATTTCCGATGATGAGTGGCAAATTCAAGTTGATGATTTATAACCTTCAGAACAAAACAATTCTCTAATGATATTATAATTTTATTGGGAAGATTTATATTAGACTTTTTTAATAGTTTCTCTTTACTATCTGTAAAGTGAAATATGCTGTATTTTGCTTTTTATCTTGTATTTTCTTAAAATCTGGCTCATGGTGTGAGAATGTTATTGCATTTAAACTATCGGTAATCAAATTTAGAATTTCTGGATATAACGGTTTCCATGTAATTATTATACAATTTTTAACTATACAAACTCCTCTTTTTTCAAATTTTAGTTCACCCATTTCTATTCCTGTTTTAAGTTCTACTTTTCCAGCTATAATAAACCCATCTGTATATATATATTTTACTTAATTTCCTAATGGTTTTACAATTTCTGATATTCTTTTTCATGCTAATGCTAATAAGAATGGTTTTATTTGTGAATATATTTCATAATTTTGCCCGTTTCTTTGCTTACATAAAGCATCCCATAATGAAACTAATAGTGCTTTACTTACTTTTCTGGCTATTCTACCTTCTTTTTTAATATTATATAATATAGTATCCCATTTACCAAACATGTCTCTTCCACTAATATGAGTATTTTTTTCATATACAGGGTGGCACAAAATTTTTTGCAATTTTTTTTAATATATTTGAATTTAAATATAAACTTATT